GACCAGAGGGCCATCTCCACCATCCCACAGGTGTTGATGGGTGTGGCAACTCTTCTCTCACCCATGCCACCTCAAGATAGATGAGTAATGGAGACAGCTCTCTCTTATTCACTACTTTGGGGCTGGTTCACCCACACCTCCATTGACAGGGTTGGCTCTATTGTGCTGCCTGGATGAGGAGTAAGGCCTGCTCTCCAGAGTGGTGTAGCAGGTGGTGGTTAGGGACAGCTCTCCCACTTTGATAATCACAAGGTCATCTCTCCCATCAGCCTCAGTCATTGATGGGTATGGGGGGTATCTCTCTCCCAGCCATGCCTCTACAAGACAGGTGGGTAATGGGGACAGCTCTGCCATGCTCACAATTTTGGGGCTGACTCAACCACACCTGCGTCAGCAGGACTGGCTCTATCGTGTTGCTCTGGCAAGGTACAGGGCTGGTTGCTCAGAGTGCTGTAGTTGGAATGGGTCATGGACCGCCCACCGCCCTCCTGCTCTCATGGCAACAGGGTGGGGAGGTGGGGTCAACTGCCCCCACCCATGCCACCATAAAGTAGATGGGTAATGAGGATGGCTCCCCCACACCTGTGCTAACAGGGCTGGCTCTATTGTGCTGCCCTGGTAGGAGAGCACCTCTGTTCTTAAGGTGAAAACATGGAAATTAGCCACGAGTAACAAATAGATACAACAAATTACTCCAAAAGCACTTATGGATGCAATGAGTTCTGGCACTAAAAAAAAATTCACATGAATAGATGTATTTAAAAAATAGAATGCAGATTGTCATAAAAAACGTTAAAATTCAATTTGTTTTATGGATAAAGACATTATTAAGAGGGTTGTGTTTTCTAAAAAGCATTTTGTTAGAAATGTACTAATTGCCTAGGGGAAGAATCGTAGAAATAAAGCTTTAAGTTTCACCTGAAAATGTAGTCTTCCCATTTTCTTCCTCGTAAAAATGCTAACTTTCTACCAGAAGTTTACATATAATCACACATTGTTTTTTTTTTGAACTAGCATCTCATCATTTCATGTCATAAAATTTTAGGTTATATGACACACTATAGTCTTTGTTTCAAGAAAAGACATAAGAGTAAAAGGTCTTTAGTCAAAAGGATCACTTTCACATAGGATAGGTAAATAGTGCTGACTGAGCCTTTTCTTTTATGGCCCTTCCCTTGTGGAACGTTCAGAGCAAAGTTTGCAAAGTGAAATGTCTTGACATCTGCTATGATCTTTGGTAAGCTGTGCTGCTGGCCTGTGAATTACTGCAGGCACAGGCCATTGTTGATTATAGTATCTTTATATTTGTGATACTTTGCTATCTGAAACACCTGTGTGATTTTGCTGTCACCAAAAAATGTTTGGACACTGAGCTATTTCACTTTGACTGTCTGTCTATTTCCCCATGATATTAAAACATTACTATAGATCTGAAAAAATAATTAATCAATAATTTTCTCAGCAACAGAGGGCTTCTATGTAATCAACTTCACATATTACCAATAATTAATAATAAAGGATATTAAGAGTTTATCAGAAGAAACGAAAAGTTATGATAACATAAGACCTAGTTCTGCATCTTGGTTCTCTAATATATAAACTATTTATAGGCTACTAACTATAGATGATATTTTCTAAATCAGTTTCAGTTTACAGATAAATATATTAATGGAAATGATTATTCTTATTGTATAATACAAGTTTTTCTTAAAGCACAAGATAAATACGATGAATGTCAGAGGAAGCATCTGTGAGTTACAAAGTACTGTAAATACTTATTAATATAATAATGACTACAAATCCTTGAGTCCTAAATAGTAAGTCTCGATTAAAGACATCATAAAGAGTAAAAGCAATTTCAGTACTACACACAATAAACACTGTAAATACTGATTATAGTCAAATATAAAATTAAACATACATGCCTTTTCTTTACCTGCTCTCTCATTTTATTGTGTTGTTGTCTCATGAAGTGCAGACTTGCTTCATATTTGCTATATGTTCAAGGTTAATCCTGAATACCTGGTCTCATAGCCTTCTTTTCCCAAGTACTAGAAATATGGACATGTAGCAACTGCTCATGTAATGCCAGGGAATAAATAAATCTAGGGATTTGTACATGCTAGGTAAGCACTCTAGCAACTGAACTATATATATAGTGCCTGTTCCTCCTTTTTTTAAATTTATTTATTATGTATACAATATTCTGTCTGTGTGTATGCCTGCAGGCCAGAAGAGGGCACCAGACCCCATTACAGATGGTTGTGAGCAACCATGTGGTTGTTGGGAATTGAACTCAGGATCTTTGGAAGTGTAGACAATGCTCTTACCGTCTGAGTCATCTCTCCAGCCTGTTCCTCCTTTTAAAGATTTAAAGTTTGTGAACTTTCATGTTCATTAAAAAAAGTTTCATATATTTGTAAAATATTGATTTGTCCTTATTAAAGAATAGCAAAATAAATTAACTTCAATTTAAATTTCTCACAAGTTTAATGCTATATTTGCAATTGTGTCCTTTTGTATGCATATTGAATTTTGCTTGTGAGAATGCTTATCAAATGCAGTAAAATTTTCAATATACAACACCCAAAATAGAAAAAATATAAGCACACACTGTAACATTCTCTTCTTTCCACTAAAGTATCGGCAATTAATCAAGCAAATTTAATACAATCAAGTAAACTGCAGCAAAGTTTAAAGGATAAAGGATGGTGTTTGGTCACATTTACATGAATGTTTTCAAAGTAGTTGCTACCAGCAGTCAAAAAACAGCTATCACAAGCTTCCTGCATTTGTAAAAACAACATTATGTGATGCACTTCCTTTTCTCAGTCTCCAGGTTGGAAATATGCCCATCTTTGCAGACTGCATTACTATATCCTGTTCTATTAAATGCCTGGGCATTGAATCACTATTTGTTCCAGCATCTTTTAAAGGAGGCTCCTAACAATCTCTTTGTTAGTGACTGATGATCAGTCTGAAAGTAAAAGAAGAAATCAGAAATAATAGGTTCCTTGACAGTGTTGCTCTTTTTCATATGGTGACAATGGAAGGCAACAGCTAGGGCATTCTCTAAACCTATTTGTAACTTGGTAGCTTGGGTGAGGATTAAGCAATATGAGATACTCTGGAAGCTTCCACTGACAGCAGAATTTAGGATACTGCAAGCATGGATTAATCCTAGGAATATGCGTTAATGTATTTACAATGTTTATTTATTTTAAAAAATTGTAAATGGTTGGAGATTGCTATCTAAAGGTTTAGAAAGAACCAGTATGTCTAAAACAAATCAGCTTCCAAAGGAAGCTCTGGAACACACAGAAGCAACAAGGTATAGAAAGAATTCCTATGAGTGATCTGTGATGTGGTGGCTGCCTATAAAGACACAAATAATAATGGGGCAAGCAACTTAAGGCAGAACTCTAGGTAAATTGCACAACCACACTCTAAGATCTGTTGCTTTCAAAAGCATCTATCCAATAGCTTCAGTTTGACTGTTAAAAGGACCAACAAAGATATATTTATTCAATAAACATTGCAATAAGTTGATACCACTGTCCTATGTTATTAGACTTTACAGTTCCATATACTTGCACATATTATCACAGTACGCTAACCACATCCTCTTGAGGCTGGAAATACAGGATACATTAATTCTACCTCAGAGATGAAAAAAAATCCCATATTGGGAAACTTTGAGGTTTAACTGAAGTAATGGCTATGGAACTTGATTTCAGGCCTTTAATCTTTGGATTCATATGTATCCTAGTATAGTACTCTACACAGCATCTTTCCTTAACACCCTTTATAGCATGTTGCTTTTGTTTTGGAGGGGATCAAGAAAGACTTTCCCTTGCTGTCTTGGAATTGACTTTGTAGATCAGGCTGGCCTCAAATTCGGAGATCTTCCTGCCTGCCTGCCTCTGCCTCCCATGTGCTGGGATTAAAGGCATGTGCCACCACCATCTAGTTTAGCATATTGCTTTTATTATGACATATATATATACTAGAATTATTATAAAGTCATTAATATGGATAGTCCATATTAGAAATTAAATGACCCTAAATTTCTCTATTGTCTACTCTCCATAATAACTTCATGTAAAAGCAAAAACAAGCATAAAAAATTCATGTAATGTTTTTTAGTGTTGACATTTTCACTTTAAAAGAAACAAAAAAACACTGCTACATAAAAGGAACTTTTTAATTTGTGTTCTTATTTTTTTTAGAAAAAATTTTAAAATATATCTGGAATGACTAACATCTTTAATCCCAGCACTCGGGAAACAGAGGAAGGCAGATCTCTGTGAGTTTGAGGTCAGCTTGGTCTACAAGAGCTAGTTCCATGACAGGTTCCAAAGCTACAGAGAAACCCTGTCTCAAGAAAAAAAAAACTAAAAATATTTAGTAATTTATTTTTATGTATGTGTATATACATGTGCCTGAATTAGTTTGTGTTCAATTTGCACAGAAATGCCCACAGAAGCCACAGGGTATTAGAACACCTGAAACCAGAGTTACAGTCAGTTGTGAGTATTGGTACAGGGAACAAAACCAGGTCCCTGAATGAGCAGCAAGTAAATTAAGAGTTCTTAATTACTGAGTCAGTCAATTTCTGTTACTATTAGCAAAACTCAGATAGTATCAAGGCTTGTGGGTAACTTTGGAAAGAGTTATACAGAAGTTGGAATTTCGAACATTTATATAATATCAAACTTGAACTATTTCTCTCTGTCCTGGGAGATGTATATACATTTGCACGTGCACAAACATGTATGCACACCACCACCACTAGCAACAAGAAAACCAAATATCAAAAAAAAAGAACCAGTGAGTAACACATAGTATTTTTATGCATAGTGTTGAATCAGACCAAATTTTCCGTCACCAAGAAAAAACACAACTTAAGTGCCTACAAATGTATTTCTAATCTCAATTTCCCTGGAATGCTAGATTACTATTATGAAGAAAAATAATTTCAAAAGAAAAGAGAAACTTACCCCTCCCCATTTTTTTCTTTTGGCTTCTGGCAGGTCCTGGATGATGATTCTCTGTACAAAACAGAGCACATACACAGTCAGATTCACAAAGGCTGAGTCACTATATCAGATAAGCTCCATTATAGCTGATGTAGTCAGTGTGAGCATTTCATTTCAATGCACTCTAATCTTGCTCCCTGACAAAACTGTTTTATGGATCACAGATACCTAACCTCAGAGGACAGAAGCACAATTTTGGAAAGCATGAGCTGTCTAAACCAACTTAACTATGACCTTCTTTTTCTGGTATTAGTTTTTGCCCTTGCTAAATAAAACTCATTAAATTGGCCACACACTTATCTTTTTGGAGGACAGCCTTATCAACAAAAGATGACAGGCAAAAATGCCAAAGACTTGATGTTAATAACAAGGCTAGCATATTATTAGCTTGCTTGTCTCTGCCTTCCCTTCATTGGCATTCTATAACAAGTAAAATTCCCTTTACCCTGTAACATTTCCCTGATTGGTGTCAAATGGCAGTGCCCCTAATCAAATTATCCTTGAGGCAAAGCAGCCCACAATTATTTCCAATAAACATCATGAATCAAGGACCATGGAGTTCCTGAAAACAAGCATAAGAGAACCAACAGGAAATCCATAAATAGCAATGTCAATGGAAGTTATACAAAAACAGAAATTCTGTTTTATAGATGGAAAAAGCATGAACACAACATATGCAGAAGCCAGTGCATATAATTAATGCTTCAATTTCTTACAGGTATAAAGCATGAAGATACTATTTACCAGTCACTTGTCAAGCTCTTCATGTGTAGCTAAGCAGTTGAGTTCAGGTGTGTGTCGGTATCTGTGGGTGTGTGTAGTGAAAAGATATGATCTATAAATCCATTAAGAAACTTACTAGAAGTTCAGTAGGGGAAATCAAGAATAAATACCAAACTGAAACTTGATAACTAGTTGTATGGTACCAGATAAACCCTTTCTATTTTAATTTTTTTTTTTACAAAATATACTCTGTGTACCCTCTAGGGCATTAAAGGTATGTACTTCAAAAGCAAATGTTCTTTGTTAAATCTAGAAAATGCTGACATAAGCCTATACAAGTTTCCTTGTCACCAAACATTTCAGATACTTAGAAAATGAGAATGATGGACTGGGGAGATAGCATAATGGTTCAAAGCACTTTGTTGCTCTAACAGAGGACCTACATTCAGCACTCAGAACCCACGTTCAGTACTCAGAATCTACACAATGGTTCACAACTATCCTCAACTCTAGTTTCTGGAGATCAGGCTCCCTCTTCTGACTTTCACAAGCACATGGAACACACACACATTCATGCAATAATATAAAATAATAAAAAATTTAAAAACAGGCAATGAAAAATGTAGCAAAATTATATCAATTTATTTGGCATTTTATTATGAACATTTCTCAGGATTGGATTCTTTAGAGAATTTATTGTTTGATCTTCTTTTGAAATCAGCTGAGTTCCTCAAAATAATCTTAGACAGGGAAAGGTCAACTCTTGTGAGCTCCTCACAGAAACACCAAACAAGCAAAAACACGGCAAGAAATAAATCAATTAATGAGTGAGTGTTTGAATAATGAATAGTTGGAAAGGACAAGGGGGTTAAGAAAATGGGAGGGGAACAAAATAGAGTAATGGAGGATAAATATGATAAAAATGCATTATATACATATATGAAATTATCATAATAAACCACTAATATATAATTAATATATGCCAATAAAAATTTAACTTGTATTTTTATGAAAAACACTTGTTAATAAATAGGTTAACTCTCCAAGCTAAATTAGGGTACAGAACTACCCTAGTCTCACTCACTGGAATTTCTCCTTGAAGTCCTCAATATATGCTGTCATCAGAAATCAAGAATTTGAAGTACCAATTACCTTTCAAGTGAACTTATTCCGGGAAGGCATGAGGAAAAAGGCAATATAGCAAAGGGTAATCCATTCATGTACAAATAATGACTTGCAAGAGTTAAGTGGGATGGTGGTGGAATGACTCAATTTGGATTTTAAGAGAAAATCAGTGGCATTTCTTGGGGAAAGGAGAATTAAGGGGTGAAGATAATTGGACTGCAGAGACAGTGATATCAAGGATGCTAAAGAAATCTGGCAGGACTTCGTGGTTTCATTTTCTTAAAATTTCTTGCTTGTTCTTCTTTAATATTTAATCAATCTCTTTAGAAAGAATTAAGCCTATTTCTGTTGTTAGTGAGAACCACAAAGGAAAGGGCTGTGAGGCATGGGCTAGGATTTTCAAAGAGCAGCTGCCTCTCCAGAGGTCAAAAATGTCATCTGGATCTGGGATTGCCTTCTTCCTGGAGAAGATGAAACCAAGGAAACAAAGGTTAATTCTACCCTAGTCAATAACTACCTCACCTAAACATCTAGGGGCAAAACTCTAAAAATCAGAACTTTATTTATTTATTTATTTATTTATTTATTTATCTATTTTTGTTTTTTTGAGACAGGACATCTCTTCAGCTTTGAGGCCTATGCTGGAACTAGCTCTTGTAGACTAGGTTGGCCTCGAACTCGGAGAGATCTGCCTGCCCCAACATCCTGAGTGCTAGGATTAAAGGCGTGAGCTACCACTTCCTGGTTCAGAATTTTTTTAAATAATATTTTTATTCTTTCATTTTACATATCAACCGCAGTTTCCCTTCCCTCCTCTTCTCCAGATTCCCCTTCAGACTGACTACTCTGTCTTCATTCAGAAAGCAGCAAGCCTCCCACTGGCTTTTACGATGTCATGGCATACCAAATAGAGGCAGGGCCAAACTCCTTTTCTTGTATCAAGGCTAGGAAAGGTAATCCAGAATGGGGTACAGGTACCCAAAAGTCAGAGACAGGTCCTGATTCTATTGCAAGGAGTCTTACTAAGAGACCAAGCTATACAACTGTCACACATAGGCAGAGTGCCTAGGTTGGTCCCGTGGAGGCTCCCTAACTGTTGATTTAGAGACCATGAATTCCCATGAGCTCAGGTCATCTATCTTTGGGTTCCCATGTCATGACCCCCAGGTTCATATAATCCCTCATCCCTTTCTTCAGCAAGACATTCTGAGCTCAGTCCAGTGTTTGGCCATGGATCTCTGAACCTGATTCCATCAGTTACTGGATAGAGTATCTCTGATAACAATTAGGATAGTCACCAATCTGAAGGTCAGAATCTTATTTTAAGCAAAATGATTTCCTTAAAGATACAGGGTTAATGGCCTATTAAACACATCACCCCAAACTAAGTTTTCTATTTCACGTTGTCTCTTACTGCTGCTTCTGCTATCAACATTCAGTGTGTCTCTTTAACTTGGATCCTTGCTTCTCTAGTCTCCTTTAATTTGAGGTGTGTGTGTGTGTGTGTGTGTGTGTGTGTGTGTGTGTGTGCACGTGCACATAAGTGTATGTAGTGTTATGTTTGTGTGTCTGTGTGTCTGTGTTGTAGGAAACTTTTAGAGAAGGTTTATACTTCTCTAAAAATGAGTTCTCCTCAATCTTGTTTCTCAGTCAGGGGTCCCTATCTTAAACTAAGTAGCACTTCCAACTCTTCCATTTATTTACCTTGCCTAGCACTAACTAAACTCTATAACAAAGGCTGTAACCTGTGGGTTGCAACCCCTTTGGCAAAAAAATGAATTACAATTCATATAAAGTAGCAATGAAAATAATTATATGTCTGGGGGGTCACCACAACATGAAGAACTATAGTAAAGCGTCACAGCATTAGGAAGGTTGAGAACCACTGCTCTATAAACTAGATCCTAGCTTCCTGAAAACTAATATATCAACCATTATTGGCAGTGCACACCTTTAATCCCAGCACTCAGGAGGCAGAGGCAGGTAGATCTTTCTGAGTTTGAGGCCAGTGTAGTCTACATAGATTATCTCATATTTTCTCTAATTTTAGTTTTATATGTGTATATATATATATATATAGAGAGAGAGAGAGAGAGAGAGAGAGAGAGAGAGAAACACATATATAATTATGTTGTTCTATATATATGAAAAGTAAGCAGAAAATAGTTATATATGTATATAACTATTTTTAATTATAGTTTTAAGCTATCTGTTTAATATATAGAGCATAATGTTATGATATATTTCTTGATAGATACATGCATAAAGTAAGGACTAAAGGAAAGCATGACATTTTAAATAACTTCAGGGCCACTTTTGCCAAAGGCTGGGGTATCTGGCCAGTGTGGTAGGGAAACGAAGGGTCACGGATATGATTCTAATCCAGTTCCATACAGTTCTCCAGCTGCACAGGTGGCCTTGCCAACCACATGATGACCAAGAGAAAGGTCAGCTTGGAAGGGCCAAGGAAGTGCCTAAGGGTCCCCCTGCAAGGCTGTCAAGCCAAAGTCACTCCTGCCAGGAAATATTCTGCAAACATCTAAATGAAAGGATATGCTCAAAATTGATAATTATAGCTACTCATTGTACATTAATCAAGGGATTAATTGTAGCAGGATAATCAACATGTTCTTATAGAAGAGTATGTTTCTCAAAATAAGTAATCAGACAAAAAAGTGGAAACAAAAGAGGAAAGGATAGCAAAACGTAAACAGGCTGGGTTGACAAACCAAGAAAAAAATAAGATTTACCTGCATAAAAGGGAGACACTAAAAAGTTAAAAAGTAGAGCCCTGCCTCTCAAGCAAAGAGAAAGAAGCCAAGTCAACTGATCGTGTGCCATGTCTCATATACCCTGTCTTCCTTTTTCTAAAAGCCAGAGAAATGTTCTTATAAACTATTTTGTAAATATGAGTTTCTTAAGAGCTCTAGAAATATTTTTTAAAAAGGGGAAAATCCCAATTTATCCAAATTTTTAAATGTAAGTATTTTTAAGAGGTAAAGTCATTCATTGGTTGTTTATTTTTTGGTATAACCAGATGATAGCAGGATATTAAATCAGGGGAGACTATCATTGTCTGTGAGTCCAGAGTGGACTAGTTTTATATTCCTCAATACAAAACATGCTAAACAACAATTCAGAGTCTAGCCATGTATTTGTGTCTA